AATTCAAACAAATATATTGTATGTAGAAAATTCGATTTCTTATCAAAAAAAAATGGAAACCTTCATGATTCAAAAACACAAAGAAGGTAAACTAGGTTTAAATTTCTTTGCTATTTAACCTATATTCCTAAAACCCAAACAAACAAACCAAACCATATTAAAAATCAAATGAGAAGAAATTGTTATCAACCAATAGTGTTGTACCACAAAAAATATAAATCAAATTCAATCATTGTTTCTGGAAGGATAATAATCCATAAATCAAATGGAAGTTTTTCATGCAAACAATCATTTCATTCAAGGTTACCAACACACATTATCAAACCAAATCAAACTACCCAAAAACCAAGACCAAGTGGTAAATGAAAGTGTAGATTCATGAAACAGATTACCAACCCCACTTGATCAACTCAAATCCAATCCCATAACTAATCAAACTCTGCAGATCCTCAAACCAACTAAAGCAACATAAAATTGTACTTTGGGCTACAAGAACCCCTCAGCACTCCTGTAAAACCTTTATCAAAACCACCCCATAGTGGTTAGAGAACAAGACCAGTCTCATCAAAGTATTCAAATGATCTATTGTAGTCTAATTTTGTGGTTTATGGCAGTAGAAAGAAATTTCCAAGGGGAGGAAGACAGATTGAGGTTGGGAGATTAAGATTGAGGAGATTCAGAAGCAGATGAGGGCAATGGATCTATAGAAATGTTTTTTTTTCTGTTTTCCAGGGATTGTATTGAGGTTTTTGTGAAGTGTGTTGAGTGTGAGAAAAGTGTGCAAGGCAAACTCAGGGGTTTTCTTAGAAAAGTACTCTTTTTCCTTGTCTCAAAAAATGATCATAGCTTCTTGGGACATTTAGACCCAACTCATAAATCCAGTTTCCAAGCTTATGATGATCAATTGATGATGATTGGAAAAGTATGGTGAACAAACCAAATATGAAATCTATCCTATGTGCAAGACCCTTGATTGGATCACATACACTACATGGATATGATGAAGAAGACTCAGATCAAAATCCTTGCAAGTTTGTTTTCTATTGATAGCTGTAGTGTACTGATGGACTACTGGTTCCTTATAAGAGACATTGGAATGGGACTGAAGTGGATAGCCCTTTCTTTATGATGATGAATTTCAAATACAGTTTCCTTTTTGCTTTGTCATCTCATTTGACCATAAAGGTTCAGAAATATCAGAAGTGATATCTATCCATTTGTCTCTCTTCTTGGTTGTACTTATTGAACCAGTTGTATCTTTCATGGACCCATTGATTAAAGGCTTGATGATCACTTTGAAGTGTTCCACCAAATCTATCCTTGCTTGTTAGGTTCTTTTGAAGATTGTAGATAGATTTCACCTATAATTTCGTAGTACTTACTATCTCGAAACTAGAGCTTGCGCGGGCAAGCCCGCCTTCGGCTTCAAAGGTGGCCTGTACAACCAAAACCCTAACTTGAGATTTTGGCCTCAACTTAAGTGTAAGCATGCAAGGCAAAATAAATGCAGGCCAAAATTTCTAAGTCAAACTTGATCTGAGGTATTCACAACATATAACATAATTTAGTATTACATTTTTCTACATGCAACAACATTCAATAAAATTAATTATTAGGACCATGACACCTTAAACTTTGATTATCCACAATAAATTTACAGCATACGCGCCATATGTCCAGTTATAATGAATTAATTTGAGGTTGATATGAGGGCTGTATGACAATGACTTCGGGTTCCCCAATTGCCGGAATCAAGATGCTGATGTAAGCCGGAGTTTCCCAATCCTCCAACGTTATCGTTCTATCATGTTGTTTAGGAGCAGATTCACCTTCCGACTCTGTTAGACTCATATTAGCAATGTTCCCATATTATATAGCAAAGATCCGGACTCTCACCCTCAAGATATAAAAGAATATACTGCGCAATCATCCAATCAGGCACTGAATGGGCTTGAACGTTGAGATTCTTCCACCGCACAAACCCGAATCCTCTGACAAAAGCGTTCCTATAATCGCATCGGATTACCATTTTGGAATTGTAAGAAGACAACAAGACGGCAATTCGAACTTTATTTGGATGTGTTGATGTATGACAGGAAGTAACCAGTTTGGTTTGAAGCAAAATAAAATCTCAATATCTATTAGCTTTTGTACTTTATTTTAATATCAACACAGAGACGAAAGTTTGGCAATGTTGAAAAATGAGCTTCAATACCGCCTCCTTTTATGCTGAGACGGACCACGATTGTCACACTCCATTTACCTTCTCAAAATGCGAACCTCGACTCACTTCCTCAAAGGCTTACATCACTTGCCGTTCGCGGAAGACGCTGTGTGAACATAAATGGCAAGGCTCGGCAACACCTACCTTCCAATTTGGTTAATACTACGCCTTTTTCAAGTAACCTACAATGACCGACAATGTTTTGGCAAGGGCGCGGTTCATGATATAATTACCTGATTTGAATATTCATTTTTCCGGATTCATCAACTGGAATGAACGTACGCAATGTCTTCCGCCACGATTCTTATAAACTATACTTGAGTTATCGGCATAAACTCAATTGAATGTGGTTTACGAGTTTTATGGCCTAGTACATAGACTTGCTTAAATTGTCAATACTCAAATTAATATTTATGGCATATGTTCATTTTATGCGAAACAAATGCAGAGAATCAATGCCCCGCTTCAAGCTCAAAAATAGGACAGCAGTCAAAGACAATTAGCATTCGACGGAGAAACCGCATATGGCATAACCTCAAAACTTAAGATTTTTGTACCAATTGCATATCAGCGCACGGGAAAAACATTATGGGGTATATTAGGACAGGCGCTGAGTTGAAGCTCAGCACCTGCATAAAGCATTCATAGTCTAAACCTCCTTTGCTTTATTCCATCGAGCACACAATTTTCTCTATTCGACAAATCAATCTCATCTATAAATCGAGCACATATCAAATAAGGCGTCACCTTCAGTCTAAGCATAGGATGGATGCCACACAAACCCTCGATTCAACCTTTGTCCCTGGTTTTGGGATAGTAAACTGGATGACAGTCGCCATGACTGAGGACCAAATCGAAGTTGAACTTCTAGGCCATTTGCTTGTAGACTTCATCCGAGGTAAATTTTCCGTTTCTTATGTTGAGACAAAGTCTAACCTTGATCCTCTTTAGAATCTCGCGGTAAACCTAGGCCCATATACCGAACTGGACGGCTCACCAATGAATCGACTGGAAAGAATTATACGTTCAGCATTGGTCTGCGACACCGGACTTTCCCTGAGATTAGGATATGTCAAATCTAAACTCTTCCAATCATATCCGCTCCGTTGCATTTCATTCTATCCAATGTCGTACATGTACTCAATCAGATGTACACCATGCGTTGTCTTGAACAGCTATGTTACACTTGAGGGCTCGGCTCTTGGTTCACCACAAAGCCTTTTTTCATTTTCTCATGTGACCACTGTCGTAACTATTGAACACCGCCAAAAGAAAAATTTTCATTGAGTTTCGATGGGTACTATCGTAAATTTCTTGTATTGAAGGAACTTGAAGTTTTATGTTTCATCACATTCTAAAAATGAGTTTATGTACTAAAAAGATGGCCTAATGATCGATGGATCATAGGCCTCATGTGGAATGCATGTCACTGTATACATGCATAATTACCATTTTGAGTATACGCCAGGGGAATTTCCTATGCATGAATCTGAATCTCTAATGCGTTATCGCACAGAAACATGAATGGCAGGTTGATGTGTCAGCGGTAAGGGACCATCGCAATTCAAAGGTTTTTCAATTCAAAGGACATATTTCAGACTGAAGCCAATTTGTCAAAAATTTCAGTTATCAAAGATCAAACAATTGACGCTTGATTTTGATAATTGAATAACATAACTCAAACATAGTCAAAGTACCACCCTCATTTTATAACCAGATATCTCTTTGTACAATTTCAAGAATCATGATTCCCAATAGCAATCGTCCACCTTCACCCACCGTTAAGGATACTGCTACGGAGGTGGTGAAACACATCATGGAACAATTTGAAAATTGTAAGGTATCTGTTCGATTTCTGTGATATAAAAGCATACTCACGTTCAAAACAGGTACAGAAGGCAAAAACCAATTTATCAATGAGGACGGACGTACGACAAATGTTCACCTGTTCGATAATCTAATCTATTGTGTCATTAACGCTGGAACCGAGGAGGAACGTTGCATATTTACTTGTCTTTGATTTACCAACTTTCGTCTATACGCCAGTGGTAAGTGGGTTTCAAAGAATGTCTCATTTTTAATCTCAACTCATGAAACGCACTCTCTCCAAAGAAGAACTATGTAAGCTGGTAATTAATGACGATGCGGCAAATGTGCACCCGCCCCTAACCACGGAAAGCGTCACCATAGCGGATGAGAGGGCTTTGAAACGGGGTGACATATACCGGTTGTTACATAGGATGAATCGCACATGAGATCTGAATATTGAATTTCTCAATACTTCAGCCGATGTCAAAATGAAGTGTCCTTTTGTTTTCAATTCAATATAACCTATTTCACTCTCCTACTTCTTATTTTACCGCACCAAGCTATTTATGTAGTGTTGCCGAATGTCAAAATGGATATCATCTTACGAACTACTTGTCCTCATGGTATTCTTAAGACCTGTTATGCATTTGACCAATCAATTAAGCGATGAGAAAACATTTGAAGTTGGTGTCAACACCATAGGTTAATACAGCCTAATACTGAATTGGAAGGTGCAAAAAAACATCAACTTAATCCACTCTTGAAGGACATAGTGCCGATCGCCAGTGACATATTAGTTGTCACCGGCCGGGACATTAAAACAGGTCTCATAAATAAATCACACTTATAGGAAGTTACATAACCAATTTTGTTAATGATATCTTTCAGGTTTTCATACATATTTACGCTCAAATCCCAGTAGACATAATCAATCTAAGGCAAAGAGACCGCATTCTGAGGCCTATAAATGGCAGCCAATCATCAGCTTTGGGTGGCGGGTTTATTCGACCTTGATGCTGACGTAAGCCAATGCCTCTATCCTCATTAAGCAACTGCTGACATATAATAAATAGGATAACTTTGATCAAAATGGGGCTCGAATAGTCAAGTATATGACCACCTTAGTGTCTTATAGACCTAATACGGGCCACCAAGAGATAGTCATTGATGTTGTTCCTCCAGCTTCACACGACAATTTCACAGTGGAGAACGGCATTCATATATTAGCTGGGAAGTTGATTGACAACAACCTTCAAGGAACTCATCTATTTTGTCAACGATGGGACTCGTTGGCCACCTGCACTCTTTACATGTCTTATCAGAACCTCGTCAACGTAGTTCAGGCCATAGGAACAGGAAACATTACCTCTGTTGAATTCAATCAACAAATACCTGAAATTGCAACATCTCTCATTGTACGACACCGATCATATGACTCAATTGTACGTTTGTATTGGGTCTATGTGTGTGATACTGAGACTAACAAATAGAGCACAGTGTTTAAACTATGTTACCTTTGAAGTAGAATATATGTTCAAGAGAGATTTAGCTGAAAGTTTGGGGGCCGATGAATCATTCATCGGCACTGAGATCAACATAATTGGTCAAATGGTGGGCAGGAATAATCTGAGTGGGAGGTGGAGTATAATGGTGAGCTCCTTTGACAAATTTGTCGAGGCAAATTCTTATATATTTAATTGAAACTTGCATTTATACACATAGGCGACCGAATACAATGTTGGAGGCCAATAATTTTGGGCGCATGAGGAACTTTCATGGAAGAATAGATAAGTCAACATATTGAAATTTAAGGCGTTAAATTTTAGTATATGACGAGTTTAGGCATTGGTATCAGGGAACACCTCTACGTCGTATCAGAAATAGAGGAACGTGGACATGTCCTAATTTTATTTGGCAAAGACTGTTTAAATGTGCATAAAGAAATTGAAATCACACATTGGTACAAATATCAATTTCACTGAAAGCAGCAATTGAAAAGTCTCAGTATCAGATCGCTAGTCCAACTGAGGACAATTCACAACTATGAAACAACTTACATTAATTAATTGCACCTTTTCTGAAGAAGCGATTTAGAGACCACATTGGTCGTACTTTTTTTGCCAATGCCAGATACAATTGCCATATGAATGTTGTCCAAAGTCGTGCATCTAGACAGAGCTACGTACAATTGTCCATGTGAAAACACAGGGGCCGACAGGTACACACCCACTTTTTCGATGCTCTGTCCTTGCGACTTGTTAATAGTGAGACAGAAAGCGGTGGTGACTGGAAATTGGATTCTTGAAAATGGAATAGGATGGTCTAGATCTCCATGATGAATCATTTTCATCCGGGGAATTGCGACAACATCACCCTGGTTGGGACCAGTAATGACCATACATTTGAGGACGTATTTCAACGGTTCCATGATCACTAATCTGGTGCCGTTGCAAAGACCAGTGCCGAGGTTCAAATTACGCAATACCATAATCGGTTGCCCTTTCTTAAGTGTCATTGAATGATCAGGAAACCCAGGAAAATCAATGGCGTTAAGGCATTCCACGGCTACCGGTTCCGAGTAACTCTCATGCATTTCATCAACTGAGATGCAAATTTCCGCCTCACTTCGCAGTGTTGAGACAATTAGCTCGTTAATCGAATTCACGGTCGAATTCAATGGCGTGATCAATAACCTCTCCTTATAATAACTGGCCACGCTATCCCAATCTTCAGGTTCAAGAACTTTGTTAATGTCGTCATAAATCCAATTTATCAACAAATGAGGCATAAGCATGTAATTAGCCAAGACTTCGCAATCTACAAATTCAATGTCGATCACTTGTGAGTTCTTTTCTTGAAGTTTCCCTTCCCCCAACCTTAATATCCATTGGCTAAAGTCGAGAGTTTTTTTTTCATCTTGAGAGAGAGCTTTCAACCGCAAGTTCTCCGTCAGTTCGAACTCCGTGACGAACCGCCACAGCTTCGATGACACAAGGCAAGCGTCACGTTGATCCCAAAGAGTGCCATGCTTCACTATAGGTAGTGTTTGGCGAAAATCTCCTGAGAAAATAACACTTTTCCCTCCAAAAGGCTCCTTGTTTCTCAAGATGTTCTGGAGTGCTCTATCGACCGCTTCAACGTCGTGTCTATGTTGCATAGATATCTTGTCCCATATAATAATCAGAGCATTAATAATGGCTTTACTCTTGGAATCAGCTCCAGTGAGATCACATGAGGTAACCTCGTCGACTATAAGCGGGATGCTGAAGGTCGAATGTGCTGTTTTGCCGTTTTTGAGAAGAATCGCCGCAACACCTGATGAAGCCGCCGCGACAGGGACTAAACCTTGGCCGTAGAAATAATGAAGGACAGTATTGAGAGTGTAAGTCTTCCCCGTCCCTCCGGGCCCGTCGAGAAAGGAGATAATTTGTCGGTTATGGAGGTGAGAGTCCATTACGTGTTCCAGGAACATCTGTTGCTTGAAGTTTAAAGAAGGTAAGCGCTTATTGAATTCGGAGAGGCTGAGCAATTGGCCAGTCAAGATGGGAACCTCCGCAGAATAATGAGATAGAAGTTCATTATCCATTGAAGAAACTAATTCAGGATCAAATCCAATTGTTTTAACAGTCTTGCCCATTTCAATCAAAATTTCGTCCAAACATTTAAGAGCATACGCATACTTGATATCATCATCTATGGGAGAATTAAATCCAATGCTAGTCAGGGTTCCTTGTACATCCTCAGCAAAGAAAGTTTTAAATTTAAGCCATAATGAGTCAGGGGATGCTACATCGGAATAAACTAAAATTAAACCTAAGAGTTGCCTCATCTGATTGGCAGATGCCCACAGCGAAGCTTCTTGAAGTGCATTTTCATGATCACGATTGGATGCTAATAGTCCAAGCTTGTCTGCTGCTTCCCTGTATGTTGGATAAACGGTTCCTTTGACAGTTCGGATGTCTGAAAATGACTTGGCCCCTTTGACATTGCACAGCAATAAGCGGAGGTAATACTTTTCGCCATCGGTAACATTGGCAAAGTGAATGCGACCAATTCCAGAAGCCTTCGCAGGGTCAATTTGAGGTACAAACTTTTTATTTTCCCACTTAAAATATTTAACAATGTCGACGTATAAGGTATCTCTTGCTTTTTTACCTCCAATTCCAGTTGCATCTTCATCGCAGAGCCTAAAATACTCTGTCAAAGTAGATCTTGGCGGAGCACCCACTTCCATTCGGTGTTGCGCTTCATCTTCGTCCATAAAATAAATATATTGAGCTCCTTCCAGGTGTAACATCAGTCTGACAACAAAAGGCGAACGGCTGTTCATAGCAAATTGAAACAGCCGAAATGCAGCTACGTAGGAAGAAAAGTTAGCAAGTTGGAATATGGTGTGTATGATCAATGATGAGAACCAACCTTCGGGCGCACTAATCCAGCAATACTCTTCAAATTCAAGGATCTCGTCGATCAGGTCATCATTGGGTGTTCCTCTCCGTTTCTGGGATAGGCAAAAGATTCAGCATAAATAACAATATCTGCATAAGCAATATGACTTACATTAATCTCGATTTGGACTCGAGTCCTATCGTGTCCTTTTGTTAAGTATTTATACAGGTAACGAACAGGCCTAGTACCCAGCGGTATTTCAACGTTGATATGGCATTCAAACATCATAAGTAAATACTTATTATAAGGCACAACATGAGCATTTGTGAATTTGGAGCCTCCTTTCTGGAAGACTCTACCGTCGTCAGGTCTATAATAATCGTAATATTGATTGTCGGATATTGCAGTTTCCGTTGAGAAAGACTTAGGAAAATTCGATGTGCATTTCCCGTCTACCCAACATGGCAATTTTTTACATGGACCATGGAGCATATGTGTAGTCACTAAGTTGTACAGTCGAGGTTCGTTCTTTTTGTCAGGTAAAACGGCAGTTACCAAACAGTCAACTTGGGCCGGAGTTTTAGGACGGGATGTTTCCTCAAGAATACATAGTATGTGGGCGTGAGGTAAGCCTCTCTTCTGAAATTCCACTACCATTAAATGAGAGATAACAACTCCCAATCTCATGTTGGTTTTTAATTCGGTAATCAATTTGTCCAGTTTGAGTTTGAAGACTCTGGCGACAATGTCCGGTCGATCTTGAGCGGTCTCACCATATTTCAATTCGTTCTGAATTTCATCCCAATCGGGATTGGTCGTCATTGTAATAAACAGCGATGGATTCCCTAAGTCTCGAACCAAGGCCATCGCATCGTGATAAAGTTGATTCATATGACGTGGGCCGGGCAGAAAGGAGGAAGGAAGAATGATCTGGCGGCCGGTTGGATTAAGATTTTCATTGTAAGCTTCTTTCAGCCCCTTGTAAGAATCAGCATGAATGGTCTTTTGATTAGCACGAATCCATCTAGTGTTGTTCCTTTTGACACATAAATACAAATCTACAATAACATGCTGAGTCAGGCGTCGTCCGTGGATGAAAGGCGAAAATAGATTTTCCCGCTCGAATAGAAGCCAGGCCGCCCATTGAAGTTCTGATACATTGTAATCTTCTCGCTTACCTGCAAAGAGCACATGTGTAAGTTGCGGAATAGGTAGGAAGACACAAATGTTCAACTGACAATTTTTATTCGTTCCTTTTGTCGGGGAAACAAACATCCTGTCCCATTGCTGTGAAGCAAAGGGCAACATCAAAGGATATCTGACGCTGAGGAAACCAGAGTGAAGGTCGGTCATATGTTCAAGTTTGCCGTCTTTGTGACGCAGTATAACATCTCTTGGGTTACAATCAATTTCTCCGGTTCCTCATATCAAAGCCGCTACATCTGATGGTCTAGGCTTATTGTAAGTTTTCATCTCGCGTTTACCAGGAGGCAGAGACTTTAAGATAACTTGAGTGGTATCATCCGAATTGATAATTTCTGCATTATCCTTCAAGAAAACAGCGATAGGATTAAACTTATTCACAATATCTTGAAGACGTTTTAGTAGATTGATGTTGATGTCTTTTTTCTTCTTCGTCGCCTGACTTTGCCGCATCTTGACTTCTTCCTCAGCTCCATCCCCTACAATGAATATTTGCGCAAAACATGGATTATTTGGATCTTGAGGTAACAATGAGCCTAAGTTATGATGCAGTTGACGATGAACTCGGAAGCAATAAGTCCCTTTTTGGCCTGCGACGGAATTGTCCACGTGAGACCCAAGAGATGCGAAAGAAACCAGATTGTTATAGACAGAAAGATCCTTATGAAAGTCAATTGAATCTGTAATTCACGTCAGGTCAAAGTGCGCTTTGTCAGAAGCCATCGGCAAAACACAAACCTGGGTCGATTCCAGTGTACAATCCCATCAGTTCTTCCGGTAACGTTGAGCCTTCAAAGTACGCCAAGGGGATAGTGACGTCCCCTTGCTTACAACAGTTAGAAAAAACATTGCTTTTTCGCGCGGTCTCGTAATTTGTTCTCTCTTGCGGCCAACGTAGTGCACCACAATGCTGACATGCCATATTCGCCGGGCCTAGGTTGTAAGGAAGTTGTCCTTGGAATTTATCCAATAATATAGACTCCATATTTTGATCAACGGATTCGGCCGCAAGGTCTTTGCCGTCTTGACCCATAATAGAGAGTTAGAGTGCGAGAAACTGCAGCGTAAGAGAATAGAAGGATGTAAAGTCTAGTATTTCGCAACGGCGTGAGAACCGAGAGAAACGATAATAATGAACAGGTTTACGAATAGTGACGACCCCCGTCTATGTAGGCGGTGAATAAACCAGCTTATATCAAGTCACAAAGATCTATAACACGATCTACTTCTTCTGTATTTAAAGTAGGGATCTCAAGTACAGAGCTGTATATGCGCTTTTAAAACGGTTGCAGATGCAGGAACATAGAACAAACATGGCTTCATTGCATGACACATGATATAGAGATAAATAAACAATCTCAATTCACTGGCGAGGGGCCAAATTTCACTTTCAGGATTTTTCCAGAGGATCAGAGTTAATAGGAGCACTAATGGAAGTGGATGGATTTCACGTATACGTCACATTGAATAAGAAACAATGAATTAATTTGAGCTGACGTCGACAACTCGAAAAAGGGAACAATCACCGTATGTTCAGACATTGAGTACAAATGAATAAAGTCCTAAATTCAAAAAAAATTGGAAAAGAGATGTAGATAACATGTTGGCTCTACACTTAATGGCATGAAGCCGCAACGGGAGTATCTGACTAAGGATTGAAGTACAAAGATTTTGGGAAATGACATAAGTCTTATATGTGTGAAGTGAAACATGCGCACAGAGAAAGAGTCGCAATTGATCACACATCTTGATCAGAACTGTTGCCCCTAACTCTCTTAACAGGGCTACGTGCTGAAGGGGGCTTTGAAGTGGCCTTTCCTTTTCCTTTTCCAATAATTGACTCATCTTCAGGGACAGTGGTGCTAGGCGCAATTGAGGAAGAAGAAGCGAGGGGCTGAGATGATTCACTCTCTGGGAATATCCTGGAAGCAATACACAATGAGTTGAATAACAAAGGAAAGACATATTTGTGACTGACATCTTAGCACGCGCCCGGCCTCGAGGCGTCGATCGTGAAGAGCTCCCTTTGACAGGGGTCGATGAAACAACAGTTTCCGAACCTGAGGTTACACTCACGCCAGTCAACTGAACAAATGTCAGCAAGAGTCGAGGAGGAAAAGGTTATGAAAAGAATTACCTGCACTATCCACATTTGTTTCTCTTCGTTGCGGCCTACAATATGTCCGGTGAACATCATCTCACGTCCCACAGTCATTAACGGCTGCAACTTCTCCATCAACTTGGACCACATGGCGCGGTATTCAACTTCAAAAGTAACTTGAAGACCAACCTAAATTTCAATTACATTTTAGCTACACAACAAAATCTTAGGTAGATGATTTGGTGTTAAACTTACATCAGGATTATAATCAGAGTGCTTAACAATTAAAAACACATTCTCTTTTCCAGGCTCAATGGGTACTGAAGTCCGTGTGGAAATGAAACCGAGTCCAGTAACACTTACCCCATTAGCAAGGTTGCACTCCAAGTTTTTAGATGTATTTGCGAGTAATTGAAAGTCAGGCTCGTAGTAAAATTTTTGAATATCTTTGTTGTTTAATGCTAATAGTCTTCTCTTGAGGTAATATACACCATCTACATCTAAAATAATATCTGTTCCTCCATAAGCTACACACGTTATGACCCATTCGACTGATTCGCTGGCGTCATTACGGGTGACAATTGTGGTGTGCGAATGACGCAATCCGTACATACCCGCCACTTTGGGTCCAACCTGTCGAATTGAAGAAGTAAGTTAAGGTGTGGAAGTATAGAAATTGAGAAATGGGCGTTACATTCTCAAAAACATCAAATAAGCATGAAACGATGAATGGATGATTGCGCCTTTTTGGAGCATTATTAGATGAACTTTTGTAAGCTCGGTTTGGAGATTTGAGAGGAGACACAGAATTGCTCGTCATCTGAAATAACAGGAGGTAAAAGTCTGAATTAGGAGAGACGATGAAGATTGAAGGATATATGGTAGGATGATTTAATGGGACTGCAGAGGGACTAACTGTATTTGACCAGTAGTAAAAAGAAAAAGTTTTGTTTATAGTTTGATCGATCCAAGGTCGGGCAACGGTCTGAGCCGGTGAAACAAGGAACGAAGAGATAAGAATGCGATGGTATAATGGAAAAAGATAAGTGGGTTTTAATGCTCAACTGAATGGAATGGGCCTCAATTCGAAGAGACTCTGAGGAGAGATGGAAATGAAGTGAAAGATAAGAGATTTATAAATCTGTTGGAGAAACCATGGGTACGTATGAGTTAAACACTGGAAAGATGGGATGGAATGCAGGGATGGAATGTTGATAAGAAGATTAGGGTAGTTCGGTGATAATCGTAATAGAGGGAGAAGTGTCTTGAGGACAAAGGGAAGAATGAATGAATAAAAATACATAGCACAATGGAGGATTAGATATGAGACAACGTCGATGGTTAGACAGAAGGGATACAATCCCAAATCGCCAAGAAGTGTATAATTTTAAAATTCTACTAAGATGGAGAGATAGCTTGCTGCAAAGATGGAGTTCAATGAAAAGGAGATTGCGGCCGTGACCAACAGAATGAAAAGTAGCTGATGTCCCTAAAATCCGGTAGAGAAGTAAGGGATTAAATTGACTTATACCACTGAAGCATATGAAAACACGTAATGAGGTACATATACAAGGTTAAGTTTAAAATGAATTATTATACATATCCCATGATAGATGGGGAATAGAAGTTACTTAAAGTGGGTCCATAAACGCGATAATATCGGATTCTGAAAGAGTCATCTGGTGGGTAACAATAACTGGTACAGGAAAGAAGCGGATGGAACCGTCCAATTGCAACTCATGAATATAGAGGAGGGCAAACACTAAAATAATGGATTAGGTGTCAGATACGTATAGTACAGTAGAGGGGGTTATAAGAGAGGGGGACGTACCATCTGTTGGTTGGTGGTTAGGACCAATAAATCTAAAGCTAGTATACTCGCATTCAACCTTATTATTGGGATAGTGTATGTTAATGTTCAATCGACATAAGGAGTTAATTTAGTAAAGGACATAAATAAAACTAATCATTAAGAGTTAAGAAATCACTTAAGTAAGGATAGACGAGAATGATGTCATATTTCATTTAACCCCAATCAATCATATTCCTTTTCCTTATAATCCTTGAGCTCTCTGTTGTAGTTCTCTTTTCCCATCTTTGGAAAAGAGAACGTACGTATTTTATAAACTTGTTTTTCACTCAATTGAATTTTATCTGATATGAATCTGTTAGTTTTATCTTTGACTTAGATCATAGCTCACATTATCTACGTGTGCTTCATTTTATTATCATCTAACCTTTAACAGGTACTTTAACCTTTATCAATCTTTTCATTTCCATAAACTAGTGATTGATGTTTTCTTTGTATCATGTTGTTGTGTTATAGGTTAGTCAATATTCCTAAGAGCAGGATATTATAGTCACCTACTTATTGTTTATAGCGCTTCTATCAGGTAATTAAAACTATCTTTGGAAAAGAGAACTTTTATCTTTGACTTAGATCATAGCTCACATTATCTACGTGTGCTTCATTTTATTATCATCTAACCTTTAACAGGTTAGTCAATATTCCTAAGAGCAGGATATTATAGTCACCTACTTATTGTTTATAGCGCTTCTATCAGGTTAGTCAATATTCCTAAGAGCAGGATATTATAGTCACCTACTTATTGTTTATAGCGCTTCTATCAGGTGTCAATCTATAGGATCTCATTCCGATTCACTCATACATTCCATTCGGAAAACATTATTTTGGAATCTATGAACATAGTGTACGTGCCCGGGGGGATGTTCAATTTTTACACGGCCTACAGTGGCTGAGGAATGGAGGAATGGGAGTATGGTTAAATTTTAGAATGGAGGGTGATGGTTGATAGCGCAGTAAAGGGATTGATACGTACGGTTGCGAAACTGAAAAAGAAGACATCCAAAAAGCCGCGTGAGATCTCGCTTTAATAAATTATGAGTGTGGGGATGGAGATATTCTTCACATGGGTAGTCTGGAGGTGGCATTTTAATTTAGGTATTATGACAGAGATTGGAGAATAATTTGAGGAATGAAATGAAAGCAAAGGTAATGTTGATGGAGGAATGAAGAATGACGGTTGAGATGTAAATGTATGATGATGAAGAGAAACGACATTATGGAATGACAAATATAAAGAGGATGTGGTGTAATGGATATTTCCGCATTTAGAACTATCAAAAATTTAAAAAAATCAAGATGTTTTTGATGGGAAAAAAAATGATGCTATAGAGACGGAAATAGTGGAAGGAACAAAAGAATATATATGACGAACAAAGATGTAGAGATGAAATGAACTTTTGTAAAGTACGTGAAGGTATCCATGAAATGAAAAACTGAGATCAAGGAGGCTCCAATAAAGGCAAGTAAGTAAATTGAAATGACGTCAAGGCATAAAGATGACTGTTACTGAAAACCGGCGAAGGGGGTATGAGGGATGTGTGATGCATAACATAGTTTAGACGGTAGAGGCAATTGAGGGTGAGAGTTCGTCACAACAAAGTGAAAGTGTAATGATTAAAAGTACAGACGAAGAATTAAAAGCACAAACACAGGACGAAAGAGAGTGTTACACGCCGGAGGCTGGAACAAAACAGAGCACAAGTAGTGTGGTCCGTCTTAGGAAAGGGAATTAAGACAAATGGAAATCTATCGGGTTCGTGATAAATCAAAAGGGTTAAAAGCACAATGAGTCAACATTGAGAAGGTTTAAATTTCTGGTTCAGGTGAACAAAAACGTTAGAATGCGCTGTTTTGAGACACAGAGGATTCCGCCTCAATAAATGGAACAAAAAAAATTGAAACCACTTTCGAGGATCGTAAAAGGGAAGATGAACAAAAGTGTAAAAGCAGTTGGGCTTGTCTTAAACAAAGAATAAGGGTACACAAACATTACAACCCATTTGAAAAACCCATTTAAGAAAAAATATAAAAACCCATTCAAAAAAATATTTTTTTGAACAGAAAATTCCAGAGGGACCCAATTTATTTTTCTGTTCAAAAAAATAATTTTTTAAATGGGTTTTTCTATTTTTTCTCAAATGGGTTTTTCAAATGGGTTGTAATGTTTGTGTACCCTTAATGTTGAAAAGCACTTTGATTTGGCGGATAAAAAATTTACAAGCCAAAAAAAAATGTATAAATAGAGTGCACGTTTACGTATAATTGAAGCCTGCAAGCCATCTCGTGACTACACCGTAGAAAGTGAGTCATAACCGAGCTCTAGCCTACGACTAAATCTGGATTCTCCCGCCGAAAGGCTGAAACTCTTTTACAAGTTTCAGTGCTTTCGGGGGGGAGATTCCAGATTTAGTTGTAGGGAATATGTGGATAACAAGAATGTTTGGATAGGTTTTGTAAGTCTTGAAATTAAGAAAGGAGATCTGATTGTTCTTGATGAGTTGATTGGAATTGGTGTATGTAAAGTGAGTTGTAATGTGTTGATTTGGTTTTTACCTTTATCGGGTTTTCAAGAAAGGGTCTTTGTACGCATTTAGTGAGAGGTCTTTGTTCTGATTTCCAAATTCGAAACTTTCCAAATCGAAAAAGGTAAAAACTCAAAATCACTCACTCTCACACTTCACACTCTCACACGCCAACTTATCATCATCATCATCAACAGTCTTATTTTACTTTTTAATGTTCACAAACGAGACACCGATTAAATCACGTCGTCAATCTTTCAAATCATTCACTCATCAACTCTTAATCAATCAACATTCAAAATCATCAAATCAAAACCATCCAATGTCAAATCCATCAAACTCTTCTGATCTGATACCTCCTCCAACTCCTTCATCTCCTCCTCAATTACCTCAATCAAAACAACAACAACAACAAACACTACCTTCAGCATCTCTCATTCTTCGTCAAACCAACAAACTAAACCCACGTTTACCTAGACCTTCAAATCTTGCTCATTCTACTATACCACATTCTTATGCTTATGGGGCAGCACCAACAGTTTCAGAACTATCAGATCAATCTTCAACTCATCATCGTCGTAACACCAATACTCAATCAAACCCAACAACCACAACCGATCAACCAACTGAAACTCGTACACCACAACCTATTCCAACTAATTCATCTAATACTACATCTG